CGCAAACTCCAAATATACAGCAGCAGGCGTCAGGGTCGGGATCGAACCCACGACCTCCTACATACCAGGCGAGGTAGTTACCATCTCCTAGCCACCGTCAGAAGCATCAGCAGCAGCATCAGCAGAGGCGGCACCAGAATCAACAGCAGCAGAATCGTTTGTCGTAGGAACGGCTTTATGAATCACATACGAAAACAACAGCCCCACGTGGCTGGGGGAGGGAGGGAGGGGCAGCCTCCAGACCGAGTAAATCGATGAAACCTAAAATATATCTTCTTCTTCTGCTTGCGATCCAACACACATTCTCTATATGCACCAACGTGGACGCACGTCTTAAATACTACCACGGCACCCGCCCCGGGAGGAGCCTCTCCCCCACCCCGTGCCGTTGGGAGCGCTGCAGGGCAACAGGGCGTGGAGGAGCATTGCTACCCTGGTAGAGGCACTGCAGCTGCCCGTCACAGCCCTTGAGCCCAACTCCATCCCTGTCCCTCGACCGGGACCCCAACTCCAAACCCTAACGTTAACCCCACCCCTACGCATAATCCCTAACCCAAACGCTAGCGCCGAAACTTACCCAGAATTCTATCCATAATTTCAACAATTCTAAATGCAAGTTCCAACCCGATCCAATGCGAAGCTCGGGCACTGTCCCAACGCTACATCAAAACCACAACCCTATCCTTCATCCTAAGCCTAACCACACCCTGCTAAAACAACTCGCATAATGCTTGACACTCACCAATCCCTTGTTCCCGTGCCCATGAACTCCGGGGGAGGGGACGGGGGGGGGGTCAACCCCCCCCACCACACACCGCCGCTCTCGACTTTTGGCTTTCACCGCTGTCGAGAGACCTCCACCGGACAAGCGGAGTTTCCCCCGTCGCTCGCAACCACAGCGCGCACAGCTCGCGGCCTGGCGACGGTGCGCTGGGGCAGTGGCAGCGCACCCACGCAGCAGCAAGTGCCAGCACGCCCCTCTTCGGTACGCACAGCGTCGTCTCTCTAGTAGAGTATACTTTGTATACATGGCAGCACATTGTCGCCGCTACCGCCAGCCCCCGCCGCCGTCGTCCATCATCATCGGTCACTCGTGAACACCATATGGACAATCTCGCCCACGGAACACTCCTATTGCTCTATTGGTTTTGCGAACTAACCACCCTGCGGGAGGCATCTCGGCGCCGGGCAACGGTGGCGGGGAGGGCAACGGCGATTGGGAGGGATGGGTGCGGCGACTAAAGGGACAACCCTGGGGTGACCCCCACTAGGGGGCCGGCCCCCCTCCGCACATCTCCGCCCCCCCCCCCCTCTCCCAACCCTCACCCCTGTCCGCTCCACGCCGCGGTTTTCTTCACGAGGGTGGACGTTACCGGCGCCCGCGCGTCGTCGCCCTCTCGCTTCGAAGCGGAGCAGGGAGATTGAAGACAAAGGTGGGGGGGTGGGGGAGGGTGGGAGATTAGAGTTGGAGATGAAGGTAAGGGAGCGAGCGGAAGATTAAGGCGGGGAGTGGGACGTCGAAGGCAGGGGGCTGGGAAGCGAGAGGAAGGTGGCTGGGGGATGTGCGACGTCCTCCTGGTCACGGTTGCACCGTCGCTCCTCTCTCTCCGTGTGTGTGGGGCGGGGTCGCCGGCGACGCGGCACCGTGCAGCTCGACCTCTCTACTCATCCGGGGAGTCGGCCCCCGCACCCTCGTCGTCTCCGCCCTCCGAGATGTCGTCATCTTCATCGTCGTCGTCGTCCTCGTCGTTCTCCACCTGCCACGGCAAGCGCACGCGGTTCACGGCGACTCGGCACAACGAGCCACGGTCGCCACGACAACTCGGTGTACCGAAGTGTCCCACGACACCACGCTTGGCGCGTGTCGGTGAACTCGGCCGAATGTGCCACCGTTAATTCTAGATTTGAAGCTTTCGTGAGTGCAAGGATTCATATTCTTAGGTTTTTTCGGTAAAGTCACGTAGGTAAAAAATTCAAATTAATAAAGTAAAATAAAAATAAAATTAAAATCATGACGTTTCGGAGGCAACACAAGCTTCCATCTTCAGGTGGAACAGTCACAGCACGATAGCTGTATCAATACAGCTATCAATACAGCTATCAATACAGCTATCGTGCTGTGACTATTCCACCTGAAGACGGAAGCTTGTGTTGCCTCCGAAACGTCGTGATTTTTATTTATTTTTATTTTACTTTTATTAATTTACATTTTTTACCTACGTGACTTCATCGAAAAAAACCTAAGAATGTGCCACCGTTAGTCACGTCGGTGCGCCACAACGCACGTGCCACAAGCACCGACCCGGCATCAACACAGTTTGTGCCGCAGAGCCCGTGTCGTGGCACGTGGAACCCCCACACTTCCCACAGAGCCACGTGTCACAGTTTCAAAGTTGATGTCGCGTGACCAGGTGCCGACTCAAGAGAGAGCATGACATGGGCCACTCAAACTACCAGAGCGAAACAAACAACATAAAGTACAAAGCAAAAATGAAGCCAGACGCGAATCGGTGCCAAAACACAGCTGCGTCACGCGCCGTTGCGTTTGCGGTATTTGCGGCGCGTGCGCTACGCGTCTCACCGCGTGTCCCAGCTCGCGCAGGCGGCCCTTGAGCGCGATGATCTTCTGGTCCTGGTCGGCGAGCAGCACCAGCAGGTCGTCCTGCTCCTTCCTCGTGTCGCCCGCCTCCTTGTTGAGGCGCACCACCTCCTGGCGCAGGCGCGCGGTCTCGCCCGCGCTCTCCGCCAGCGCCAGCTTCTCCTCCGTGAGCAGCCGCACCGTGTCCTGGGCAGAGACGCAGCCAACGTCACCACGACCGTCACCACCACCAGCAGCACGTTCGTAGCGATCAACAACATCTTCTTGGTTCTTTCGGTAAAGTCACGTAGAAGGGAAATAATAAAATAATACAAATAAAACATAATAATTCTCACGACGTTTCGGCCACAACGCAAGCAGCCGTCCTCAGGTGAAGTACAGGTCTGCCGGAAAGACAGCGTCTGAATGAAACACCACCAGGCTTGGAGCGTATATTTAAGCTGGGTTGGAGGGGGAAGAGCGCCTTGACAAAATAATTTGCATATCAAGAGGACTTTAGCAGACCTTTCCGACAGACCTGTTCTTCACCTGAGGACGGCTGCTTGCGTTGTGGCCGAAATGTCGTGAGAATTATTTTATAATGTTTTATTTGTATTATTTTATTATTTCCCTTCTACGTGACTTTACCGAAAGAACCAAGAAGATGAATCCCTGCAGTCACGGAAGCTTTAAATCGAAATCAACATTGTCATCACCACCACCATCACCAAATCGACCGCCATGACCACCACGAACACCACGACCATCATCAACTCCATGAGCACTTTTATCACCAAACGACGACCATCATCACCGTGGCAACCACCTTCACGCCCGTCACCACCACCATTCGTGATTAGCAATAGATAAGCGGACAATGCTCCTCTTTCACATGCATATCCCTGCACGTGAAACATCTGAAGATCTTTTCTTTAATCATCCCATCAGTGGCACGGCCTTCTGGGAGTGCATACATTTCAGCAGTAATGGTTGAACACAAGCACAACCCTGGACTGTATTTGGACACACGGTCTCATGCGTCAGGGACGCTTGAGCCACCACTTGTGAACTGCCAGAAATCCATAGGAAAGGGCGCCGCTCCCCACCTCTCTGCCAGATCTACTGTCCTCCCATCATCATCATGACCCGTGGACAGACAGCCCGGAGGTGTCCACGTCACATTTCGTCATCTGCCTTGTGCCAATATGCTCAAGTAGCGCCACATCTCTCTGGCACCGATTCTCTTTTTGTCGTCGTCAAGCCGTTCTCAGCGAGGTCTTTCCCCCCCCCCTCTCTCGTTCCAGTTCCTTACATTTTTCCGGACACCACACCTCTTAATTTTTCTGTAGCTGTCCATCCGACGTCTGTGTCAAAATACCCAATGTCCGATACTCTTTTCGTTAAAGTCACGTAGGTAAAAAATTTAAATAAGTTAAATCACGACGTTTCGGGCACAACACAAGTGTCCTTCTTCAGGAGGGGACAACTTAGCGAAAGCACAACCGCTTAAGTGTTTCTCTGAAGCGTCGCGATTTTATTTATTTTAATTTTTTACCTTCGTGACTTTACCGAAAAAAAACAAAGAGTATGAATCCTTGCAGTCACGAAAACTTCAAATCTAGACCCAATGTCCGAGTTCAGACGCAAAATATGGTCATCATCATCATCCTCATCCTCAACCTCATCATCATCCTCATCATCATCAACATCATCATCATCCTCATCATCATCATCCTCATCATCATCATCATCCTCATCATCCTCATCATCATCAACATCCTCATCATCATCCTCATCATCATCATCATCCTCATCATCATCCTCATCAACATCCTCATCATCATCATCCTCATCATCATCCTCATCACATCCTCATCATCATCCTCATCATCATCATCCTCATCATCATCATCCTCATCATCATCATCATCATCATCCTCATCATCATCATCCTCATCATCATCATCCTCATCATCACCTCATCATCATCCTCATCATCATCCTCATCATCATCATCCTCATCATCTTCATCATCATCCTCATCATCATCCTCATCATCATCACCCTCATCATCAACCTCATCATCATCCTCATCATCATCCTCATCATCAACCTCATCATCATCATCAACCTCATCATCATCCTCATCATCATCCTCATCATCAACCTCATCATCATCCTCATCATCAACCTCATCATCATCCTCATCATCATCATCCTCATCATCATCATCCTCATCATCCTCATCATCATCCTCATCATCATCCTCATCATCATCCTCATCATCATCACCCTCATCATCAACCTCATCATCATCTTCATCATCATCCTCATCATCATCATCATCCTCATCATCATCATGGTCGTCCACGAGAAAGCTGTGCGCGACGGGCACCCTGCCGCTGCCGGCGCCGGCTGCGCCAGGCGGCGCCAGGCGGTGCCCCCCACCTGGAGCTGCTCGTGCTCCTGCTCGAGAGCGGAGGCGCGCGACTCCAGCTCCTCCAGCTTCGCCGCGGCGCCACCACTCGCCGCGTCGCCGTCGCCAGGGGCCAGCGCCAGTCCGGGGGCAAACGCCCGCGCATCCTGCGGGGTGTGGGGGGGGGGTACGGGGGGGTAGGGGGGCACAGGGGGGTGGGGGGGGGAGTACGGGGGGGTGGGGGGGGCGGAGAACACCAGAGGCATGAGGAGTGGCGCAGGTGGTCAGTTCCGTAGCCTCTACAGGCGCCATGAAGAGCGAGGACGTGTCTCATCTATCGACACGCTCAACCATGGCCTCTAGATGAGGCTCGGGGACTCTACGTGAGTCTATGGATCTCTATGTGAGTCTGTGGGTCTCTATGTAAATCTGTGCGTCTCTGTGTGAATCTGTGCGAGTCTGTGAGCCTCTATGTGAATCTGTGCATCTCTGTGTGAATCTGTAGTTCTCTGTGCGAGTCTGTGGGTCTCTGTGCGAGTCTGTAGGTCTCTGTACGAGTCTGTGGGTCTCTCTATGTAAATCTGTGGGTCTCTATGTAAATATGAGGGTCTCTCTATGTGAATTTGTGGGTCTCTGTGCGAGTCTGTGGGTCTCTGTGCGAGTCTGTGGGTCTCTGTGCGAGTCTGTGGGTCTCTGTGCGAGTCTGTGGTCTCTGTGCGAGCTGGGGTCTCTGTGGGTCTTGGGTCTCTGTGCGAGTCTGTGGGTCTCTGTGCGAGTCTGTGGGTCTCTGTGCGAGTCTGTGGGTCTCTGTGCGAGTCTGTGGGTCTCTGTGCGAGTCTGGGTCTCTGTGCGAGTCTGCGGGTCTCTGTGCGAGTCTGTGGGTCTCTGTGCGAGTCTGGGGTCTCTGTGGTGGTCTCTGTGCGAGTCTGTGGGTCTCTGTGGCGAGTCTGTGGGCTCTCTGTGCGAGTCTGTGGGTCTCTGTGGCGAGTCTGTGGGTCTCTGTGGCGAGTCTGTGGGTCTCTGTGGCGAGTCTGTGGGTCTCTGTGGCGAGTCTGTGGGTCTCTGTGGCGAGTCTGTGGGTCTCTGTGGCGAGTCTGTGGGTCTCTGTGCGAGTCTGTGGGTCTCTGTGCGAGTCTGTGGGTCTCTGTGCGAGTCTGTGGGTCTCTGTGCGAGTCTGTGGGTCTCTGTGCGAGTCTGTGGGTCTCTGTGCGAGTCTGTGGGTCTCTGTGCGAGTCTGTGGGTCTCTGTGCGAGTCTGTGGGTCTCTGTGCGAGTCTGTGGGTCTCTGTGCGAGTCTGTGGGTCTCTGTGCGAGTCTGTGGGTCTCTGTGCGAGTCTGTGGGTCTCTGTGCGAGTCTGTGGGTCTCTGTGCGAGTCTGTGGGTCTCTGTGCGAGTCTGTGGGTCTCTGTGCGAGTCTGTGGGTCTCTGTGCGAGTCTGTGGGTCTCTGTGCGAGTCTGTGGGTCTCCATGTGAACGTGTGAGTCACATCTCGAGACTGCACAGTAACACCGAACGTGTGCATTGTCCAGCGCGAGCAAGCCAGGCAGTGAGGCAGAGGACAGGAGGAAGGTCCTGAGCCTGGACTTGCACCGGGGCAGGGAGTCTACCACAGCACGGATGGCTGGGGCAAAGGGAGCTTCAGACGAGCCAGCATAGGAGAATGAGCGACCTACCAATGAGTAGAGTGAAATGAGAGATAGGGGAGTGTGTGGAGGGGAGTAGTGGGAAGAGAGGTAGGAGAGTGTGTGGAGGGGAGTAGTGGGATGAGTGGTAGGAGAGTGTGTGGAGCGGAGTAGAGTGAGATGAGAGGTAGGAGAGTGTGTGGAGGGGAGTAGAGTGAGATGAGAGGTAGGAGAGAGCGTGGAGGGGAGTAGTGGGATGAGGGGTAGGGGAGTGTGTGGAGGGGAGTAGGATGAGAGGTAGGGGAATGTGTGGAGGGGAGTGGAGTGGGATGAGAGGTAGGAGAGTGCGTGGAGGGGGAGTGGAGTGGGATGAGAGGTAGGAGAGTGAGTGGTGGGGAGTAGAGTGAGATGAGAGGTAGGAGAGTGTGTGGAGGGGAGTGGAGTGGGATGAGAGGTAGGAGAGTGCGTGGAGTGGAGTGGGATGAGAGGTAGGAGAGTGAGTGGTGGGGAGTAGAGTGAGATGAGAGGTAGGAGAGTGTGTGGAGGGGAGTGGAGTGGGATGAGAGGTAGGAGAGTGCGTGGAGTGGAGTGGGATGAGAGGTAGGAGAGTGAGTGGTGGGGAGTAGAGTGAGATGAGAGGTAGGAGAGTGTGTGGAGGGGAGTGGAGTGGGATGAGAGGTAGGAGAGTGCGTGGAGGGGAGTAGAGTGAGATGAGAGGTAGGAGAGTGTGTGGAGGGGAGTAGAGTGAGATGAGAGGTAGGGGAGTGTGTGGAGGGGAGTAGAGTGATATGAGAGGTAGGAGAGTGCGTGGAAGGGAGTGGAGTGGGATCAGAGATAGGAGCGTGAGTGGTGGGGAGTAGAGTGAGATGAGAGGTAGGGGAGTGTGTGGAGGGGAGTGAGATGAGAGGTAGGAGAGTGCGTGGAGGGGAGTGGGATGAGAGGTAGGGGAGTGTGTGGGAGGGGAGTAGAGCGATATGAGAGGTAGGAAAGTGTGGAGGGGAGTGGAGTGGGATGAGAGGTAGGAGAGTGTGTGTAGGGGAGTACGGTGGGATGAGAGGACGCTCCGCAGGGGCAAATCAATAGCGGATCCTGAAGTTGGCAACTGCGATTTTGAAACACTGGTCATGAAGGTGGGTGGTGAATGTGGTGAGGGTCGAGGTGGTGAGGGTGACGATGGTGGATGCGGAGGTGGATTCGGAGGCGGATTCGGAGGCAGTGGATACGGTGACGTTGTGGACATACTGCGGCTTGAAGTCGCTCCTGCAGGTCACTCCGCTCGCCCTTCAGCTGCTCCAGCTCCTTCTCCTGGGCCGACACCCGGCTCCTTAGGGCCTCCACCTCCTGTGGTCCCACCACACCAAGTGACACCACCACACACCGGTGACACCACCACACACACCACGACACAGCGGTGACACCACCACACACACCACCACGACACACTGGTGATACCACCACACACACCACGACACACAGCGGTGACACCACCACACACACCACCACGACACACTGGTGATACCACCACACACACCACCACACAGCGGTGACACCACCACACACACCACCACACCAAGTGACACCACCACACACACCACGACACAGCGGTGACACCACACACACACAAGACCTCACAGCGGTGATACCACCACATACAACACACCAAGTGACACCACCACACAGCAGTGACACCAGGAGAGTAGAGTGGGATGAGCGGTGATACAAACACACACAAGACCTCACAGCGGTGATACCACCACATAGACAAAACCTCACAGCGGTGATACCACCACACCACACCACGACACACCGGTGATACCACACACACACCACCACACAGCAGTAACACCACCACACACACGTGACGTCACAACGTCCCGCAGACTGCAGCATCGTCACCACGACCGACGACCGCTGCTGCGGATCGCTTTGGTCGGCAGCTTGCCGTTAGCGCTCGGTACGTCGCCTGGCGTCGGCCCAAGGGGGAGAAGTGGGAGAGGGGGAAGGAGGGGAGAGGTGGGAGAGGGAGGAGGGGGGGATGACCAGCAATGGCGCCTGGCAGGCCCTGCCGTGGTACCTGGTCGCTGGGGGCGTCCGCGTGGTCGCTGGCTCCCGACACAGCGACCCCCGACTTCTGCCGAACACGACACGAACGGTGTGTGGAGGGGGGAGGGGGTGGGGGGTGACAGGCAAAGGCGTGAGTGTCCACATGCGGGTCGAGGTGTTGGCGTTGTGGTTTACTCACGTGCGTGCGTGAGTTTATATGTGTGTGTGTGTGCGTGCGCACAGGTGGCGCATCTGCCTGTCATCTCAGTAAGTCAACTCATGGCACCCGGGTCTGTCCCGTGAGCTCCTGCCAGCGGGCGTTCGACACTAACACGTGGCCTGAAAGTGCACATAGCCAGGCACAAGCGCCGTGGTCTTTCCGACAGGTCTGTCTTTCCGACAGACCTGTTCTTCACCTGAGGACGGCTGCTTGCGTTGTGGCCGAAACGCGTGAGAATTGTTTTTTATAATGTTTTATTTTTATTATTTTATTATTTCCCTTCTACGTGACTTTACCGAAAGAACCAAGAAGATGAATCCCTGCAGTCACGAAAGCTTTAAATCGAGAGCCTTCCATACTAACCTGGTGCTGCGTGTAAACATCAACATTGGGGAATCAATGGCGGCTGGGCGTGTGGCTGGCCACCCACCCCATCGTGTGCCATGCCGGCCTTAATAGGCGCTCGCAAACAGCACTTGCTCCTACAGTTTGTTCAGGCTACAAGGGGGATCTTTGTCTTTGTGTGTGTGCGCAGGCGAGTCACCAGCGCGCTGAGCTGTGCCTCCCTCTCGGCGAGCAGGCCGAGGGCGTGAGCGGCACGCGTCCTCTGCTCCTCCAGCTCGGCGCGCAGCCTCTGCAGCTGCTCGGCGGCCTCGTCCCCGTCGGCCCCGGCGGCGCCCAGCCCGTTCACCTCCACGTGAGCGGCCTGCGGCCCGTCCTTGCCTGCCCGGCGCAGCCAACAGCAACGTCAACACTCGTCGGCAGAGGCCTTGCGCGTGTGTGCCTTTGTGCGTGCGTGCTTTTGTGCCTGTGTGCCTTTGTGCGTGTGTGCTTTTGTGCGTGTGTGCCTTTGTGCGTGCGTGCCGTGTACGTACGCGTTCGCGAAGCGGTCAGCGCGCCGCGCTCTGCTGACTCGATTCCTGCTCATGGCCACCAACGCCAGTGACGATTATCTGAACCGGTTGACTCGGCTTAAAATGAGCACCTGGCGGTGTGTAAACATCTCCATTCGGGAGACAAAGGCGGTCGGGCGTGGTGCTGGCCACCCACCCCCTCGCGCGCAGTGCCGGCCTTCATAGGTGCTCGCGAACACCACTTGCCCCAAAAGTCTGTTAAGACTTTAAAGGGGATCTCTGTGCTATCTTGTATGCCTATTGGCATCTGGCAGTAATGAATTATCAGTCGGTGGTCTCAGTTAGCCAACCCATGGTACCTGGGTCTGTCCGGTTACCTCCTCCTGCCAGCGAGCCTTTGACATCTCATGTGGCCTCAAAGTGCACTTAGCCTGGCACAAGTGCTGTGGTGATATGCCACCACCACCACTTAGCGGCGAATGGCGACTGTTGTTGTTTGTTCTTAACCCTTTCCAACGAATGTTCAACGCGTTGAAACATAAGCACCTCCGATTAGCACGGTTGGCTACATACAGTGCGATAGAAGTTCAATATACATACATAGATTAGCTCCGTCTGTCTGTCCGTCCGTCCGTCCGTCCCCTTTGTCTTGGTGTGCCCTGTGCGTGCGAGTGGGCCTTACCGGCCTGAACCTTGAGCAGGTTGTACTGGTCCTTGAGCTGCTGCACGTGCGCTGCCTGCTGGCTCACGGTGGCCTGTGCCTGCTCCAGCTGCATGCCCAGCGACGCCACCTGTTTCTTCAACTCCCCAATCTGAGTGTCCTGTACCACGCGCATCATACACCACCACCACCACGCGCGTCATACACCTCCACCACGTGCCTCACGTAACACCGCCTCCACCCCGCGCGTCACGTACCACCACGTGCGTGTCACGATGCCCCACCACCGCGCCGAACAAAGTGTCCTGTAAAACCCCACCGATACCACCGTGCGTGTCACGTAATATTATTTACCACCGTGGCCAAATCAATACCGATACACGTGCGAGTCTACCATCGCCCGATCCGAGCGTCCCGTACACCGATACCAGTACAGATCACGAGCTACCACACCCTCCCACCCCTCCCACAAATCCGAGTGTCCAGTACACGGGACAGCGCCACACATCGTTCTGCCACCACCGAGCCTCCTCGCGCAACCACCCCAGTCCACACGCAGAGGTGGGCAGAGCCTCTCACCTGCTCGCGAATGAGCTCCTTGTACTGCGCCATGACGCTGTCGTGCTGCTGCATGGCCTTGTGCACCTCCTCCTCCTTGCGGTCCTCCTCCGCTGACTTCTGCACGGCCTTCACGATGGAGCCTGGGTTTGCCACACGCGCGGCGGGAGGGAGGGGGCGGGGGCGCAGTGAAGGGCGGTCTTGTCACAACCCCGCCACCCGCTCAAACAAACCGACGGACGGAGAAGGTGACAGACGGATGGGCAGTCGAGCTGACAGATGGACTACTGGAGAGATGGAGGAGACAATGCTGGCTTACAAGTGTGAGCATGAAGGTAAGAGAGGAAGAGAGGGCAGGTTGGAAGGCAGGCATACAGACAGGTAGAGAGACAGTGACAGGCAGACATATTTAAGAACAGATGAATCAACGCAGAGACCGACTGTCATCTTCTCTGCCTCTTTTCATCTGTCCGAGAGACACAGACCGACAAACACACATGTAGACACGCAGACAGACAGATGAACAGATGGAGATGTGGACAGGCAGACAGGCGGACAACCCACCCTCAATCTCGCGGACCATCTGCGTGAACTCGTGGTCGAAGAACACCTGCTCGGGCCCGGGGAACGCCGGCTGGGGCTTCTGCGACGCCTTGGAGTAGAGGTCGTGCTTGGAGACGGCCGACAGCTTCTCCAGGAAATTCTCCTTGCCGATTCGCTTCTCCACAAGCTGCTTCAGCTTCGGCCTGAGCCATCCGCAGCCAGCGGGTTAAGGGCAGGGGGGCGGGGGGGGCAAAGGAGGTCCCACGCGGAGTGAGGTCGGGATGAGGCACAGGTCACAACAAAGGTGTAACACACTGATAAGGGGGTGGGCATGGATATCCTCCGGGTTCTCCGGTTTTCCTCCCATAGTTAGCAAAAAAATATATAAACACATGCTATGTATAGTAATAGGTTTTTACCCTTTCAACTGGTACAAAAACTGACACCTTTGACACATTTTGTACCAGTTGAAAGGGTAAAAACCTATTACTATATTTTGCCACTGGTAAAGGAGGTCTCATAGTGTACATGCTATGTAACCAGTATTTGCTAAAAACATCCCAATTACTGAAAAATTACTTATAAAAAATTACTCAATTGGGATTACGCGCAACAGCAGCAGCAGCAACGTCCCGCTCCCTACTGTGAAACACTTAATGAGTCTTGAGACTCGGTGAGGCCTTCCCGGGCAGCGGCACCTCGTGTGGCTGTCGAGAGAGTTGTCGTTGTAGAAGATGCAGATGCCAATGAGCAGCGCCGACAAACCCTGCACCAGCTGCTCCTCCTCGCCCAGGTTCTCAGAGATCTGTCCCGTGAGCTGCAGCGTGCGCCGTCAAGGGTCAGCGCGAAGACCAGCGGCGCAACGACGGCGAAGTGTCCAACTGTCTGTCTATATTCTTAGGTTTTTTCGGTAAAGTCACGTAGGTAAAACATTAAAATTAATAAAAGTAAAATAAAATAAAAATCACGTTTCGGAGGCAACACAAGCTTCCGTCTTCAGGTGGAACCATCACAGCCCGACAGCTGTATCAAGTAAATGAGAGATTACAGGAGATACCACTCCGTATATATAATGGTCTCAAACCGCACCTTACCATAATAATAGAGTGGGCCATTCCTGCGCCTTCCCCCTTCCCCCTCCCCTCAACCATTATATATACGGAGTGGTATCTCCTGTAATCTCTCATTTACTTGATACAGCTGTCGGGCTGTGACGGTTCCACCTGAAGACGGAAGCTTGTGTTGCCTCCGAAACGTCGTGATTTTTATTTTATTTTACTTTTATTAATTTTAATGTTTTACCTACGTGACTTTACCAAAAAAACCTAAGAATATGAAGCTTGCAGTCACGAAAGCTTCAAATCTAGAACTGTCTGTCTGTCTTCATAATCAACGTTTTTGGGTTTAGATCGCGTTATGTATAAATGTGTCGTAACCCTCCACCACCCGACACGGCCAATCAGTAAAAAAGTGTCATGTTCACAAAAGACAAATAGTTCACTGCTTTAGCCCACCGGTGTGTTGAAGCGTGAAACCACAACATTTACAATTTTTGAGTAGTACGACGTTTCGCTGGTAATTGCATCCAGCATCATAGGGCAATTCACCAGAATGGTGAGGCTCTGCTCTGGCTCTGGCGAATTGCCCGATGATGCTGGATGTAATTACCAGCGAAACGTCGTACTCAAAAATGTAAATGTTGTGGTTTCACGCTTCAACACACCGGTGGGCTAAAGCAGTGAACTATTTGTCTTTTGTCAACGTGACACTTTTTTACTGATTGGCCGTGTCGGGTGGTGGAGGGTTACGACACATTTATAAATAACGCGATCTAAACCCCACAACGTTGATTAATAATATTGGTCGCGAAAGCCTGCTACGTGTTAAACTGTCTGTCTGTCTCTATGCCCATCTGTCTGTCTATGTACCCGTCTGTCTGCTCGTCTGTCTGTGTGTCTGCCCATCTGTCTGTGTACCTGCTTGTCTGTCTGTCCGTTTGCCTGAGTGGAGCAGAGACGCCGGGTTGGTGTAGAATTGATTGTTATAGAATCTACATTTGTGCAAGTGTATGCGGTGTCAATCTATAGAATATATAACTGGTATAAATGTCGGGAATCGAGTGATCAGAACCTATACGATGTGAACATATAAAAACTAGTGGTGTTAATATACAGTGGTGTGCATATATATAAGGCATTGTGAACGTTTAATAATCTATCGATTTTCAATCGAACAAGAATCGATGCATGTACCGTGACAGTAAGATCATTCCAATGCCCAGCTGTAGTTTTTATTTTTGACGAGAGGACCCCCCCCCTCCCTGATGGCAGGATACGAAAGGCACATTGGCGGGGTTGTGCAGGAAGTGCGTGACTGCGATGGGGCAGTCCGTGAGCCACGTGCAGAGCAGGATGAGCAGGCCCACGCGCGTCTGCACCTTGTTGCCCTGCACGAGCGGAGCACGCACACAGGACACCGCCTCTCTGAAGAACAGCCCCCTTCACCAACGCGGGGCGCACACCATCAACCTTCGCCACTGGAGCCAGCAAGGGCGCCAGCGTGATCCACCGAGCGTCCAACCGGGCAACCCGCCAAGCAGCCAGACGATGGATCAGGCCAAATATCCAGCCGACTATCTAGCCAATAACCGGGTGAGCATCCTGCTAAAAATGCAGACATCAATCCAGTTAAATATCTGGTCGAACGGTCGGCCATATATCTGGCCGACAATTTGGCCAATTATCCAGATGACAATACGGACACATTTCTGTGCGAATATCCGAGCTAAAACCCGGCCGAGCGTCCCACGAAAAAAATCTGGCCAAAATCCGGACGAACATCCGGCAGACGGAGCATCTGGGCGAGCGAGTGAACGTCCCAAGGAGAACGCGGCCGGACATCTGTCCAGGTATCCGGCAGAGCAGTTTTACCCAAACATCCCGGCGATCATCGTGCCGAGGGCGGTGGACCCGAGCACAGCAGAGAACGGCACTCGCTCCATACACGCAGCCCACCACCCCCGCCTCCCCTACCACGCCCCCACTACCCCGCTCCCCCATTCCCACTACCACCATCCCCCGCCACCCACTCCCAAACCCGCACAGCCAACACGGGCTCTCTCGTGGCGCTTACAGGTGCACGGACCTACGCTCGCTCGCTCGCACTGGAGGGCAAGTTGTACCACTTTACGATGGGGGTCACCCAGTCGTGCGCACCGTGAGATGTACGCGAACGATGAAGGGAGTTTTCTAGACTCCAGTGCTCATGCCCCACATTTAACACTCGTCTCCATTCAACGATTAAAACACACGCTCCATGAGCCTGACGATTGGTAAAGACATCCCCACTGGACGTACAGAGCGATCATGAACATTGAGATAGAGATCTTGTGTGTGTGTGCTGTGTGCATAGGTGTGTATCCAAGAGAAATAACAATAGGTTACAAGCACCACCCTAGGTTAACTCAGCCCTAAATGAGTACCTGGATGCAGTGTGTAAACACGACTGTGTATAGATCTGCACTTTGGAGAAAAAGGCCACCGGGAGTGGTGCTGGCCACCCACCCCCTCTCCGTGCGCCACACCGATTCTCAATAACGGCACTTGTCCCAACAGCTTGTTAGAGGCCATACAGGGGAACCTTTGTCTGTGTCCGATTCAAATTTGCGCCGTCTCCGTCACGCGGGACAAGGTTACCAATCATCGGTCGCGTGCAGCACGTAACGGCTCGATCTGTGTTTGAACGGAGGAGACTGGGGAGCAAGTGACAGCCGCTCCAAGCCGCACCGTGGCTGCGGTGGTACTCAATCAATCAACCATCACGGCAGACTGTGCAGAGCGGGGTGCGGAGTGAGGGCAGTGGCATGAGACAAGATTAGGAGAAACCGCAAACGCCAACACAAACTCCGACACAAGCCCTAGGACACAGTTGTTAGGACAAAAAACGTTGTTAGGCACACCCCAATCTGGTCTCCCTCCGCAGGCACCCACCACAGCCCACACGCAGACAGCAATCGGGGCCCGAAGGCGCTGGCGTTGAGCCACCGCCGCCGCCTAAAGACGTTACAACTACGGCGCCCATCTCGCCAGGTGTCAAGATACTGAACGATAAAAAAGGGGCTTTGTCCTGTCCGGCGTGAACACGGATGTTAAGGTGTCCGCCATCACCAAAGAGACACCAATGACATGGCACCATGTCTGCAAAACCACACACACACTTGGGGTAAGGAAAAACGCAAACAAATATGCTTTTATAGAGTATGCACCGTCCTTGAAACTCATTGGCCTGCACCAAACAGCCTCCTTTTGCGGCAATGTTTCACCAGTGCTAAAGAATAGACCGCCAAAAGGCGAACCCGTGCAAGGACAATGCAACCACAAAAGCATTCATAGCCCCAGTTTAACGGTAATCGGACATTAAGACGTTATTGGTAAAAACCCACAGCAATGACACAGGCTCACAGGTGAGCCACAGGTGAGCCACAGGTGAGCCACAGGTGAGCAGACGACATGAGTTAGACAGGAAAAGGGGGTTAGTCGAGGGGAGGGGTTAGCGAGGGGGAGGGAATTAGGTGCCTCCTGGCGCCCCCTGTGGTGAAGGTGGGGGTCGGACACGCGCCACACTTACCCGTCTCACCAGCTTGTCGCCCTGTCTTCGTAACGGGCACACGGGGAGGAGGAAGGGAGCAGAGTGGGGTGAGATACAGGTAGGAGAGCGGTGGTGAGGGGGGGCGGGAGGGGGGCCTGTAAGCACTGACGTTGGGGCCGTGCAGGTCGTCTCAGATGCCCCCCCCCCGACGCCGGAGCGCATCGTAGAGAGGACAAAACATGCACGCGGTTCTTTAGTCGTTCACGCGCACCGCCAGCGTCTTAGCAACACCAATCGGGTACCAGTGGGTGATATCTTCGGCATGGCGGCGGCGATGCGTTTCTAATTGCCTTGCCCGTGCCGAGTCACTTCTGTCGCCGCACGGGCACCTTGCAGTGCCCCAAGCGACTGGGGTGTGCGCGTTGAGGGGCAGCTGCCCGCGCTGCATTGCTACCCGGCCAGGTGGCGCAACGGTGGAGCTAGCGGCTCGTAATGGGGAAGCCGTGAGTTTGAATCCTAGTTGTGAGGGTTGACTCGACCCATCATCCCGCACTCCGGGCAGGGGGGGGGGTGATAAAATGAATACCACTTTGTATGGAAGTCAACAGTGGTTTTGCTGTGGATAAACTCGGCAATGCCCTGGGAATGTGCAATTACCACCAATGGCTCAGGGCTGCTGTAAACAGGAGATGAGCGCCAATTCCTCAATGGTAATTTGCGCAGAAATTCACTCGGCAATGACATTTATCCATACCTCGAGTCAAGACAATGCTCCCTCCCACCCCGCCCCGCCTAGTATACAAGCCTCCATTGCAAAGACAGAGGTGCAGCCCTGCATTTGCTTGCTGACAAATGCTGACAAGAGGCAGCTCGATGGGGGAGCCCCTCCAGAGGGTATTTGGCCTCTCCTTCCACGCCGGCCAAGAAATGGGAGTGCCCACACGCCTCGATTACTCGTGGGCGGCGAAGTTGTGCGGCGAGCACCTGCGACAGGATGCTGGTGCACTGCTGCAGCAGCGACACGGGCGGGTTGCCCAGCGACGTGGCAAGCTGCACCCGCAGCAGCTGCTCCTTCTGGGCGGCGTTGCCGATGAGGGCGTGCGCCAGCGCCACCGCGGCGCACCAGTTGGAGAGAGCGTCGCCCGAGAACAGGCCCCCGCACAGCAGCTGTCCCGCCGAGATGGCGCTGGCTGTGCCGGCAACGCACGCACAAACACGCGCACGCACAAACACGCGCGCGCAAGCATGCACCCACGCACCCTGGTCATCATCATCGCAGCCGCCATCATCGTAAGCACCGCCACCACCACAACCGCAATCACACACATCATATACTACACCAACATCACTACCACCACCAAGACCACCGCTATCACACAAATACTTTCACTGTGATAATTATCACAGAGGTGATTATAATCACTATCGCTTTCATGACCAATATTATTCATAATATAGGTTTTTGGGTCAGATCGCGTTATTTATAAATGTGTCGTAACCCTCCACCACCCGACACGGCCAAACAGTAAAAAATGTGTCACGTTTTTCAATAGACAAAATCATTCACTTCTTTAGCACACCGGTGTGCTGAAGAGAGAATCTACAGCATTTAAAATTTTGAGTACGACGTGACACATTTTTTACTGTTTGGCAGTGTCGGGTGGTGGAGGGTTACGACACATTTATAAATAACGAGATCTGACCAAAAAACCTATATTATGAATCACTCTCGCTATCATCACCATCATCATCATTGACACACCAAGACAACTGTTCAATCACACCACTACCAACGTGATCACTCCCACCACCAAAACCACGAAAATCTTTTTCATCATCATAATCTTCATCACCTCGTATCGTGTATAAAACATCAGCGCTTGTGGGACAAAGGTGGCTGGCCGTGACGCTGTCCACACCGCCCCTTCGTTGCGCAATGTCCGCCTTAACAGGTGCTCGCTAACAGCGCATGCCTCAACAGCCGGTGTGGGGGCAGGGTTGGTGAGATGAGGGTGGTTTTGGTGAAACCGGCGAGGGTGAGCGGTTAGGAGGATTGCGTGGGGGTGGGCATGGACTGTGCGCATCGTGTTTGGGTGGGCGTGGGGCGGCACCGTCGATGGTGGAGGGGAGCAGCGTGGCAACGATCTGGCCCTGCCCCCCCGGGTTGCGGTAGAGGAAGCTCTGGAAGCAGTAGAGCACGGCGCAGCGCAGTACAAACGGCTGACGCTCATTCACCATCGACATGAGCAGCACCACCAGCGCCGGCCTGCACGCCACACACACACACGCACCGGCTCGGTCAATCACGGCGCACGTCCACAACAATCACAACCAGCAACCGCACGCCGCCAGAACCGACTGCGATGGTACAAAACCACAACAACCCATGACACACACGCCACAACCACAACAACCAATCGCACGCACGCATGCACGGACCACCACGGTCAACAACGGCGCACGTCCACAACAATCACAACCAGCAACCGTACGCCACCAGAACCTACTGCGAACGTACAAAACCACAAGAACCAATCGTGCACACGCCACAATCAACCACAAATGATGCACAAGCGCAACAACAAAGCACCATCGTTAACAACCGCAGACCCCCCCCCCTCCCCCGAACATATAAAATACCCCACACACACACCAAGGGGGCGGGGGGGGGGGCAGGGTGGGGAGAGGGAACCAAGGTGGGGGTGGGCGGCACGCACCTCGGCGGCGTGGAGGGAGCGCTGACCGCCGCAAAGTACTCCTGGTTCGTCTGGCACCCTCGGATCACCTCCGACACCGTGTTGATCGTCTGAGACAACAGCGCGCAACACGGACACACGCGTCAGCCAGCGCACGCGTCCTCCGCAGCGGTCCGCGTGGAACGGCGGGTGACGGCACGAGACACGGGCGCCGGGGACGCGGTGCGATGGGGAGGCTTGCCTCGGTGAGTATGTCCGCCGGGACGCCGGTGGCCATGAGGATGGCGCACAGCTGCTGGAGGAGGCCGCACTGGAACATGGCCTTCTGGCACGCCGCCACGGCGCCCGCCGGATTCGCCGGAGACACCAGCGTCCGCACAAGCTGCGGTCGTGGGGTGGGAGGGTGCGGGGGGATGGTGGGCAGTGGCGGCACATGGAGACACACGCAGTGTTACCTGTGCACGCACGGTTAGACAAAGATCCCCCGAATAGCCTGAACAGACTGTTGGGGTAGGTGCTGTTAGCGAGCATCTATTCTATTCAATTTTGGATTTATAAAGCGCCTTTCACCTAGGCGCTTGACAATGCTTGCCGACTACAGTACAAAATGGCTAGACAAGGGATGGGGATCGGGTAGTGACGAGGGTGGAGTCTGCGGCAGTGGAGGGGCGTTAGGCGGTGCTGGTAGGGGTGGCGGAAAATGAAGGGAGAAGGCGGAGTAGAGAAAAGAGATAGGACCTGAGGGTGGTGGGGAAAGAGGAGAGCGAGGGGGAGAGTCGGATGTGGAGAGGGAGTTTGTTCCAGAGTAAAGGGGGCAGGCAGAGGTAAGGGGCGAGAGTGAGATTGGGCGCAGGGAGGAGGCACAGCCAGAAAATGAAGGCCGGCGTGGTACACAAACACACGTATAAACCCACTCACAACATTCGTCGCAAAACATGCCTTATTACCACTATTATTATTATGCTCGATCACCCCGGAAAGCCTCAATAGGCGTCAAGACCCTTTTGGCAGCAGGGTGCTGCCAAGTATTTCGCAGTAGGGGGCGCTGTAATTTGATGAAAACTCACACTAGAGATAAAGGACTCAATTTGAAATACTCGGGGAAAAATCGCTCCCCCTCCTGGCAGCAGGCAAATGCCCACACGCAGGCCGGTGCCGAGAGATCCTTGCGCTCCACAGGGAGAGCTGCCGCTGGGGGTGCCCTTCGAACGTTTTAGACGCGATGCATTTGCCGAGGCATTTAAACAAGAGCCGTACCGGTGGCAGGCACCCTACTGGAATAGAGTTTTTGAGACGCGGGGCGAGGCTTTCCTGGGTAAAACGAGACGCAATTAATTCTAGATTTGAAGTTTTCGTGACTGCAAGGATCCATAATCTTTGGTTCATTCGGTAAAGTCACGTGACTTTACCGAAAGAACCAAAGAGTAGAGACGCAATTAGTTACAGTCTGCCCTTGCTCAACGCGTGTCCACACAGTGTTTTCGCCATAACACGGTTCTTTTATTTTGGGAACACTTTTGCGCGGAGCACGCACTGTTATAACGTGGTTTCTGAGCGGTTGACGACGAACTACTTTCTTGAGCCACGGTGCTGGGCAGTATGATACAGTATGCTGAACGATACAGCACGTGGAGTGATACAGTACTCGGCGACATATCCTCGTATCAGTTCTTTGTACCGCCGTGGGATGACCGACTTTAGGCCGATTTTAAAGCGCTAATGTGATTCAGTAACTCGGTATATCGCTCGCTTAAACACGGTTTTGCTTTGCGCGCCAACTTTCAGGAACGCATCGAGCGCGTTAAAAACGAGGAATTCTTGTATTTGCTCCCGGCGATTCAAAACGGCCTTCCGGGCGGCCACGTGCGTGCCCACCGCTGGCGCCGACCTGCAGCATGAGGTGCAGGTTGGTGACCTTCTGCGCCGACCAGCCAGCGCTCTCCTCGGTCACCTCGAACCAGGGTTTCATGCGCTGCACGTAGGAGCCCTCCTTGAAGAAGTTCTGGTTGGAGTTGTTGTTCTTGAGTAGGTTCTGCAGGAGCAGCAGGCAGTCCTCCACCACGATCCCTGCCGATCCCGCACAAACCACGGCACTCTCACAGCCGCGAAAACGCCGGTGGAGCAAGCGACAAACCGGCACTTATCGCAGCAGCGATGGACAAAGTTTTTTTTTTGTTGGAACAAAACAAGAGCTCGGTAAAGCGCGCTGCACAGCGCGCCGCACAGCTCACTCAACCAGGCGACACAATCTACGTAGGAGAGTCCCAATGCAACTGAACCATATAAAAGGGGGGGGGGTCAAAGGTGAGACAAACCGAGCCAGCTGCTACAGCCAAGTGGGGACATGATATTGGGGAGAGGATGGAAATTTAAATGGAGGGGAGAGGGGGGGGAAACTGGGGAAGCAGGAGTATAACCAACCTAATGAGGGAAACCTGGGGAAGGAGTGGAATAGGGGAGGGGGGAGATGGAGGGGGGGAGGAAGCGGGGGACAGAGTCATTAAGTTTCTCGACGTTGAACAAGGTCACTGCGTCGCGCGCGCCCCCCAATGCGTCTCGACAGGGAGGCGCATCAGAACGGCAGTGGCGGTGGCGGCGGCGGTTACCTCCGTCGCTGTGCCCCTCCTCGGAGACGATGTCGAGCAGCCTCTCGAAGGCGTTCTCGAAGGCCACGATCTTCTGGATCGCCGCATTCCCCTTGGTCAGCTGCTGCAGCAGGAGCAGCCCCTGCGCACCGCGATACACGGCACACGTTAGCGGCGACTCGCACGGCTCCCCACGCCACCGTGGCTCCCATGCACAGCAGCAGCGTGCTGTGTTCCCTCTGCTGCCCCCCACACAATAACAGCAGCGTGCTGTGTTCCCTCTGCTGCACCCCACACAATAACAGCAGCAGCCTGCTGTGTGTTCCCTCTGCCCCTCACACCACACCGTGCTGTGTCAACCCGCCACCCCCCCGACCCCGACGCCACTCACGTCATTTCGGATCACCTCCCTGGTGTCCACCAGCAGGTCCATCATGCGCGACACTCCTGCGGGGGTAGCGGGAAGGGGACAAAGGGGCCAGTGAGGGCAGCTACAACAACAGTGGGGGGGGGCCACAAGGGACGACACGGGACGCGGAGGGTCGACCGTGACGGCGTCGTCCGTCACGGCGGGCACCGCGCCCGTCGGCAAACACCACCCACCCCCCCACCGCCCCGTGTTTCCGCGCGACGGCTGGCCCATGCTGCCACACGCGCCCAGCTGGGAACTCAAAGAGGCAAGAAAGAGTCTCATTTGCAAGAGTGGGTGGGCGATTGAAGGAGTGAGTTAAGCGAGGAAGGTGGTCGTGGGAGAGGATTGGGTGGGACAGAGAGCTCGAGGAAGGATGGGTTTGGGTCGGGGTGAGTCGGGCTAGAACAGGTCAAGGGTAAAGATGGGTCAGGGAGGAACAGGGCAGGGTGGGGATGAGGATCGGTGGAGGCTGACCTGTGGGCGTGACGAGGATGATCTGGTGCACGGCCGGTCCTCGGTTCTTCAGGAGTACCGTGAGCAGCTTCACAGCCGCCCATCGCACGTGGAACTCAAACTCCTGCGGGCGAAACACACACACATACATTAACACACACTCATTAACGAAAAAAGACAAAGATCCCCCGTATAGCCTGAACAGACTGTAGGGGCAAGTGCTGTTAGCGAGCACCTATGAAGGCTGGAATGGTACACGAGGAAGTGGGTGGCCAGCACCACGCCCGACCGCCTGTCTCCCCAGTGGCGATGTTTACACACCGCACCAGGTACTCATTTCAGGCTGAGTCGACCTAGGGGAGGCCCAGGACTGGTTCAGATAATCGTCACTGGTGTTGGCCGTGAGCGGGAATCGAACCCGGGACGCCGGGTTCATAGCGCAGCGCACTAATCGCTACACTACCGCACCCCACCACACACGATCACACACACACGGCCTCCCGCCCAGTCGCCAGCTGAAAAGGGACGCAACTACGAACGTTGACCACATTCGACCGAGTGACATCGTCGTGCAGACATCACATGGAGTGAAATCACGTGCTGTGACATGGTGGTGGTGGTGGTGCAACATCGCATCAGAGCGGTACCATGGAGTGACATCACGAGAATCCAATAAATTTCGATTTAAAGCTTTCGTGACTGCAGGGATTCATCTTCTTGGTTCTTTCGGTAAAGTCACATAGAAGGGAAATAATAAAAATAAAACATAATAAAATAATTCTCACGACGTTTCGGCCACAACGCAAGCAGCCGTCCTCAGGTGAAGAACAAGTCTGTTGCACGCTGTCTTCCCGACAGACCTGTTCTTCACCTGAGGACGGCTGCTTGCGTTGTGGCCGAAACGTCGTGAGAATTATTTTAATATGTTTTATTTTTATTATTTTATTATTTCCCTTCTACGTGACTTTACCAAAAGAACCAAGAAGAGAATCCAATAGCTGTATTATATTTTTGTTTTCCTTTCCGCGCGTCTCCGATGAGCACGGTTGGCTACTTCCGGTGCAAAAGAAGTTCAACATAAACATGTACATACGGGGTGGGGGGGGGGGGGGGAGTCAGTGCAGTGACAACTTAGAGAGCGTGCCTCTCGTTCGTGCGCGTGTACGTTCGACGGGGTCTGGACTCGGGATACCTCAAGGAAGGAGAGCAGCAGCGACACGTTCTCCTGCTTCTGGATGATGACGTCGGTGAACTGGGCGCCCAGGTCCTCCTCTGGGGCCGTCTTCTGCTGCTGTTGCTGCTGCTGGTGGTGCTGTTCCTCTGCGGAGGGGGAGGTCACGTTGCGTGTTGCGGTGACAACCGCATGGGACAAGCGAATGTTATGACTTCGCACCATTAAACTATTAAACTATTTTTTATCTACCAGGTAAAGCCCACTGAGCTATAGAGCTGTTTTTGAAAAGCGAACTGGCCACAAATGATAGCTCAATACACTAAAACGCACATTAATTCTAAAGGTGGAGGGAAAACCCGGAGGAACCGGTGAAAAATCCATGTGACCACAGGGAGAGAGACATGCAAAACTCCAAATATACAGGCGGCAGGGTCGGGATCGAACCCATGACCTCCTGCATACCCGACAAGGTAGTTAACATTTCACCACCGCCGTGAGATGTTAAGCCCAGACGCGACAGACAACGCCCACACGTGCAAGGGCAGCTCTTATCTCGGAGGTGTGCACCTGGGCTCATCAGTGGTCGGGACGTGACTGTTCAACGTCCCAGTGTCAAACCTGTTCACCCTGCAAGTGGCCCACGGCAGCTGCCGTTCCCCCTCTGCGGAAACGCCGCAGTGCAGTATATAGTACCGTATCGTATAGGGTATCGCATGTAAGGCAAGCGGACGTATTTGTTTTGTAATTTATAATTTGCTTGAGTTGACCATGTGATTTTGTTATTTATTTATTTATTGTAAAGCGGCTTGATGTGCTCTGCACGAAGACGACGACATGAAAGCCGAGTGCTTTGTTTATATTGTTTATTGTATCGTTTCTATTGTTGTGTATGTAATTTTTCAATGGTTTACGTTGTTTGTATTGTAGTTGATTGTATCTTCGTTATTGTTCATAGTTGTTTTTTTATTGCTTCGATTGTTCGTGCATCGTCGTTCGATGTTTGTTTTGTTGTTTATTGTTTAATGTTTGACGACAACCTCACGATAATAATAACACGCACCTTTCTCCCCTGTATTTTAAGATAAGATTTTGGGGGGAGGGCGAGTTTGTTTTAAAATCCAGTAGCTGCATGTGTGTCACAGTGTGTCACCGTGTGTGTGTGTCACTAGGTTTGTGGGGAGCGGTGGTGTAGTAGTTAGAGCACACACCGTGCTACGTACACGGGAACAGAGTTCGATTCCAGCTTGCGACGATTATCTGAACCTATCCTGGGCCTCCACTAGGTCGACTCAGCCTCAAATGAGTACCTGGTGCGGTGTGTGATCATCGTCACTCGGGAGAAAAAGCCGATCGGGCGTGGTGCTGGCCACCCACCCCCTCGTGTGCCGTGGCGGCCTTCATAGGTGCTCGCTAACAGCACTTGATCCAACAGTCCATTAAGGCTATACAGGGGGTCTTTGTCTTCGTGACTTGGTTTGTGTAACTATATTGACACCAGGCATCAGTGTGGGGTGCGTCTCACTGTCTGGATGTCTGGAGCCTCTTATAACTTGCAAAGTAATATTTTTTACAATAATAACGTAACGTTTTATTCTTACAGAGTGCCATTCGTGCACACTGCAGGAACAAAGCATTTGACGAACAAACTCGTGACGCGCGCAGCCATCGCACGGAGGCGTGCGCGGGAAAACCGCAGCCACAACTGGCGCTGCCAAAAAAAATTCCCTAAGCTCTGTGATCCTACATCAAGACGTTTGGCCGACTCCACTTTCTAACGAGCGTCTATAACCTCCGTTGCAACTACCAGATAAGAGCCGACCTGCACGTTGGGTCGCACCGCCTCTCGTACCCGGCACCCTCACACCGCCCAGCGGCGACAAGCGGTGATTCGCGCATGGCATGCAGACCACCGCACCACACGCAATCCCCCGGCAGCACTCGAGTCACAACACCACCACCCAACAAAGCCCCCCACACCAACCTCTTCCTCCGATGCATTTCGATGACAAAATATACGTAAAATTTTAGGCAGGATTGTGACAACAATGCCCGTTACCTTTGCCGATTACGTTTAAAATGCAAGGTCAAGGTGCAGCCCTGCTATTGCTTGCTCACGCAAAAGGGGTTCTAGATAGCCCTTCCAGAAGGGACTTTGGCCTACTCTTCCACCCTGGCCAGTAACCTGCTCATTGACCTGCTGCGGTGTGACCATGCATGCCACTGGGTGGACAGAGGCGGATACGATTTAAGAAACTTGCCCCTGTTGTTTTGACCGCCGCGCTGGTGGGAATCAAATCGGCGACCAATGTGAAAAGCCATTACACCAGAGCAGCACCACCACGTGTGCGGTGTTATTACGTCGTGGGCAGCAGCGCCGTTCTACGTGCTAGAGTGAATCTTATCCCAAAACGAAGCCATCAGAGAGGTTAAACAGAGCGGTGAATCCATCCGTTAATATCCGCGTGTGCGCAGTCGATAAAGAGTTAGAGGCATTCCCAAGTATCGCGGGGGAACGCAGCAACACCACGTGTGTTAGTGCGGCATGCAGGCAAGCCTCCTCCCACAAGCGGGCGTGACGTCGCGTCGTTTACCTTCTGCGTCCTCTGACGTCCGGCGAACGCAAGGGGGGACACAGAGAAGAGAGCGTGAACGGAACACACGAGCCACCGTCAGCCGGCTTCGCACGCCGCTCCCCGCAACTCAACGACGACGGCAGCAGCGGCAGCAGTAACGGTGAAAGGGCATGGGGACAGCGGCGCTGTGAACGCGAATTACCTTCTTCCTCGCCCACGTCGTTCGAGACGATGTTGCACAGCGTGTCCAACGCGAAGGCCGTGATCTCCGCGTCGGACCTGAGTGACGAGAGACGCGTGGTTAGTAAGAGAGACCATGGCCAGCGGCGTCTGTAAGGTCATCGTCAAAAACCAGACTTTGCAAAATGATATCCCGTTAACCATTAAGCGTATTGGGAACCAGTTCCTAAAATCAGGAACCGGTCACCGTTTAAAGTGGAATGCGAGTAACGAGAGCACCGATTGCTCGTGCGAAAGTACAAACGGCACAGTGGCCCAAGACATCACGTGGTTCATTTGCCCTCGCCTCTCAGTTCGATAGGTGAAGGTGAAACCCTGCACTGGGGATGTTTTACTCTAGGCCATGTGGGCACCTAATCCAGCCCAGCTTCCCATGGCCACGTCTTCATCGATCCCTCCCCGCCCTCTCATTCACAACCCTTGTGTTAAATCCCTGCACCGGAGGTCACAGCAACACACTCACCCACCAACACACTCATTCACTCCCTCACCCACTCACCCACCAATTAATTCAGTTCCCCACTCAATCAGTTGCTCACCCATCTATTCCCTTGTCCACTCACCACGCTGCAGGTCACCTCACTTCTCCTTCTGATTCTTCCCTCGCCCTGCTCCACTTTGGAATTCTCTCCAGACCGTCTCTTTTCCAGAGCTCTTAGAAAATAATCTTGCCCAAATCAAGGAACATGTCAAATCTAATCTTCTGTAAGAATTCTACAGTGCCGTTTGTTGCTGGCCGCTGTGCTCAGTAACTGTGGAAAGTAAAAAAAAAACAATCCACTCGTGTGTTTGGATGAGGATGTGCAGCTGGCGTGAGTGATAGACACGTGGAAAGACAGGAGTGGAGTGTCCGGGCACTGGGCTGGAACCTCGCATAGGAAACGTACGTCCCTATCTTTGCATCTGTGATGCAAATGCACGTGTGCAGCTGTGCAGCCAGGATCCTGGTGAGCAGAGCAGCGACACACAGGGGTGTGTGCGTACCGGTCAGTCTGCAGGACGTGCAGAAGGTGTTCCATGCCTTGCGTGCCGACCTCCATGCGGTACTTCTACAATGAGCAAAACCGTTAAGCTCAGGGATTAAACAATATCAAATGTCCCCCATATAGCCTTAGCAGTTGGGAAAATGCTGTTCGCGAGTGCCTATTCAGGCAGGCATGGCACACGAGAGGGTGGGTGGCTAGCACCACGCCGGCCGCCTTTGTATCCCAGTGCTGATATTTACACACAGCACCAGGCACTCATTTAAGGTTGAATCAAACAAGAGGAAGCCCAGAACAGATATTCGTCACTTTATTTGTCGTGAGTGGGAGAGCAGAGCACACACGTACACACAAGGCCAGCGTGATGTCGGCTGCAGTCTGGGACACTAATTAAGCCCATCTCTTTTTACAGAGCTTATAATAGCAAACATCCCGGCGAGCATACATGATGTCAACAATCAGGCTTAAAAGCACGCTTGGGAGAGACATTGCGTTTCTAGATGCACGGCACATAGCGCAACGTGGTCGTCGATTTAAACGCTGCTGGGAAGGACACAAAGAGTACAAAGGATGATGGTGATATCTAATTGAACACAACGGCTCATTAGTTCTGCTACGAATCAGCTGAGAACGGCAAGCCTAATGCAAGGCAACACTCGGGGGTCTTCACGGGGAACTCATCTCATGCAGCTCATTACCCCCTATAACCCCCAACCACGATGATCGGGAAGCTGGCTTCTCCTGGTGGTCTCTGTTGAGCCATGTGGCTCCCGCCGCGGGACAAAGCATGTGTCAAATTAGCGCCGACATTGCTGCAAAAATAACGGACGGCACAAATTGGGGCACGTCTTTCTTCGTCTGATTTTAAGTTAAGGCTGTTTGTCAGACCATGGCTCTTTGGTAAGGCATATTAAAAATGACCGCAGCATGACACGCGTTTAAGTGTGCTATGGTGACATGCGATGCCCTCTATTGTGAGGATTGAGAAGTAGCAAGCGTGGTAAATTACTGAATGCTGCATATGATTGCCGTAATGTCTAGATTATGAGACACAATTTCTCCACCTGTAGTATAAAGGAAGAGTTGAGGATGCATATTATAATCCGGTAGGCGTGTGAGTGTTACTGGGTGTGTGGACAGATTCGTATCAACTTATTGATACTGGCACTAAGTGTGGGATGTGCCTTACTTTCCAGAGCATCTTATGATCCTGAAGATATGGTAATAGTTTCATGTCATCCATTCCAGCTACTAAATTAAGGTTATTATAAAGGCACCTTGGGGCGAATATTCCACATATGATACAATATGTGACTGATTACTATTAGCATTGCCGTGATGCATTCAGTATATACTTTGTAAGTGTGTGTGGATACAATACACATGGAAATTAATCCCATGTGCTTGTTCAATGGAGGAGTGCTCTCCTAACCTTGGAGAGCGATTTGAGAGCCCTCACGGCACCCCTCCGGTCCTCGATCAGTGTGGAGGACGCGACACGGTCACATAACTTCTGCACCTGCTCCCCGCACACACGCAGACACACACAGGGCTCAGCACCAACAGGTCCCTCACCTGGGTCACCTTGATCCACCTTGCCTGAATCTGGGGTTATCATTAGCGTCAGTGTGGTTCATTTGTGTTACATATTATTTGGTTGTTTTTATTCAACCTAGGACCCATATCTAACAGAGGTCTCTGCGTATATACTCATCTGGCAGTTCACCAGTTTGATTCATGGCCCGACTCAGTGCATGAGACACTGAATATCAAAAACAGGCCAGAGTTTGGCTTGTGTTGAACCAATGCAGCTGAATGTGTGCACCATCACAAAACAATGCGGCTGATAGGATGAGCAAGACATATTTACATTTTTGATGTGGAGGGACAGATATGCTGGGTGAAGCATATTGTCTGCTTACTCTATTTTATTTATTCACCAAAGGTATCTGCACTGTTGCTCAGCCTGCCTTCACATCTCCAGTCCGCAAATCTGCTGCGTTTTTTTTACCATGCAGGATTGCGTCATTTGCCAAATAGAAGTGATAAGTCTGGACTACAGCCCTTGTACTTTGTCCCTGCAGTTGAGATCACATTTTTTGTTAATCAAACAACAACATTCACGTCGTGTTTTCTTTGCCGCAAATAAGATGCACAAATACTGCTCGGAACGCGAAACGTATTTATTATAATCGGTCTAGCACGGCCGCCGATACTGTGTGAATGGCAGCTATTTACCAAGAACCCAAACTAGAACAGACTGCGTGGTGCATCACAGGAATGCGACAGACACAGCGGGTCTCTCGCAAATGAGAAAGAAACACAGCATTAATGCCGCGCAACCTGACCGAAAATATACAACTGTCAATATCTCTCGGCACAGAAACGTCCACTCGGTAACACTTGTAGAAATATCAATACGGCTCGCACAGCACGTCGATTTCACGAAGCCCTTCCCCGTGTGTGGCGAGGCTAGAGTCGCCCTCCTATGGTGAACGCCACCTTCTACATTGCAAGTCCAGTGCACTAACCATTACACCTTCGGTAGTATCCTTCCATTCAAAGTTGAGAAGGTCAACACGTGTTATGTTTATTGTTCTAGACATTTCTAAAGTGCGGCAAACCGCTAAGTTTTTTTTCAAGCGGTTACTGGTAACGAAAAAAAACCTAAATTTAACAATCCTACTTCGAAGGACCTCCAGACTCTGCAGTTGTATGATGTTTTGATCATGAGAAATCACTTGGCTTAACATAGCAGTATACAGTGCTATATTCAAATACAAGGTACTGTACTCGTTCCGACCTTTCTCCGTTGGCAGAAATGTCAGGGATGTGTTCTGTTGTGGTCGTGTTAATGACGAATGTGCTGATGTTACGTGTTACATTGTGGCTACCATGCTTGCATCTGTTTAATATATAAATACAAAACAGCATTTTGTGAATCCACTGTTGTCCGCTATGGGAGTTGCTCGACCATACTTCACCAGTTTGGTACGTGCGGGCTGGTAAATGTTGCCGGGGGAGGGGGGGGTAGATGTTGGGAGTATGACCGGTTCAGACCATCGCTCGCCATCGATTTAAGCCACGGCATGGACTCTAAACTCGGGTCAGCGGGTTCATAGCACAGTGCACTAACCACTGGGCCACGATTCCACCGTGCATCTGCTAAGAGGCGGTATTCACGGCGCGTGGCCATAAGAACTGTATGCAAGGCGAGGCTTTGTGTCTCTCGTGCATATGCATCGTCGATGCGCGTGAGAAAGAACCCGATTACAATCGGACACTGACGCGGAACGGCAGCCAGACGAGGAAGGATTAAGTTGTCGCGGGCGCTCCGAGTTAACTCTGAACGCGTCCGCACGAATGACGTGTCACAAACTCCGGGGCGCCACATAAGCGCTCAGGGTCCAGGGACCAGTGCAGGAGGGGGGGATGCAGTCCAACCAGTGTTAGGGGAAAGCTGGAAAGAATTCCTTTGGAGGAGACGAAGGAAAATGGGGATACCAAGAGTTGGAATACCAAGGAAGGGTTTTGAAACCAATCGGGACCCAGAGAGTAGGAGGTGCAACCAAGAACATGTAGATTAAGGGAAATCCACGGAATGTCAGACGTGGGACGTGGGAGTCCAACCAAGGGAAGCGAGACGAGGAAAAGTGCCGTCAAGTTTAACGAGGACCTGGGAGGCGAGTTCAACCAGGGCGAGGACGACCAGGAAGGGGAATGCAATGAAGGAGAAGACGCAGGCGAGACCAAGGGGAAACATCGACTAGGAAAAGGGAAAACAGGGTAAGAGAGCCCCAGAGAGGGGAATGCAGCGAAGGCGAGCCAGGACAGCAGAGCTCTGTGCGTCGTGAGCCAGGGGAGAGGGGACCCCGGGCCACGGGGACCTCGAGAAGTGGCCGGGGCGCGGCTCCCTACGACAGGGGTCTGACACGTCAACATCCGAGGCCGCGGCCTTCACTCGAGCAGCGGCCTCTCCTGCTCATTCCGCGGGTTCGGCGCGCCCCGCGCGGGCAGAGGCCGCTAGCACCACACGGCCTCGCCCCGTCCCACCCTCCCACCCCGTGTGAGCCCGTTGCGCGCGGCCGTCTCTCACCGTCTCGGCGCCCGTGGGCTGCGGCCCCGCGGCCTGTCCGCCCATGACACCGCGGAGGAAATTCATGGCGACGCGGGGAGGGGGGACGAGGGAGATGCGGCGAGCGGCACGGCGGAACGCGCGGCCTTCCTACTCCCTGCAGGCCGCGTGACGTCACTCACTGGAGTAGTGGGCGGGGTGGGCGTGACGTCGTTAGGCGACGCCTACTCGTGTGACGTCACAAAGAGGCGTGGCTTCATTTTCAGGTGAAGGGGGGGTGACGTTGTACATGATAATCCGTGTGACGTCACGAGAAATTAGGGAGGGGCGTGTTATCCCAAAGGGGGGTGTGGGCAGTTGCATGACGTCATGTAGAGGCGGTACTTAACATCGGACTCGAGGAGGGTGGGGGTGTGGCGGCGGTGACGTCACGAGAGGGCGTGTCGTGACGTTCTACGACAGGAAGGCGGTGACGTCACGTGTCTCTGGCCGCCATTGCCGCGGTAGGGGAGAAGAAGAGGCGAGAGACCCGCTGAGCTGCTCAGTCGAGAGGAGGAGGAGGAACCGGCGCCCGCTCGTACGCGAACCACGCCGCGCGGCGAAAATCGACCATGGAGGAAAAGTCCTCGGTGAAGGAACTGGATCAGTGGATCGAGCAGTTGTCCGAGTGCAAGCAGCTGTCCGAGGGCCAAGTCAAGACGCTATGCGAGAAGGTGGGTGACCGGGCAGGCAGGCGGGCGGGATGGGCGAGGCCTCGGGCCGCAAGGCAAATCGCGCGGGAGGTGTTCGTGAGAACGCGGGAACCACAGCTCGCATCGTCTCCTCTCCCTCTCCCCCCCATTTACCCCGTGTCTCTCTTCCTCCATCCCTCTACCGGTTCCCGCACCCTGTGGTGGGTTTGTGGTGGGGTGTAGAGGCGGCGCCATAACGGGGTAAGGCGGGAGACTGGGCTAGGGGAGGCTCCGGTAGCCCCGGCTCGCTCCGTGTCGGGCGCTCCCATTGGGCAGGAGGCCGCGGGGTGGGGTGGGGACCTGCCGAGTTTGTTCCGTGCCGCCTTTCTCCATTTGCCGAGAGGCGCGACGGGTCTCCCCTGTCGGGCGCTGCCATTGGGCAGAGGCCCGCGAGGCCGCGGCGCTCCGCGTACCCCCCCAATTTTCCTAGTTCGGCGGCGGCTTTCAGTGTCGCCGCTCGCTCTCTGAGACCGGCTCCCTCAACCCCCGCCCCCCATTCAGTACCTTGGGGACTTGCGGAGAGCAGTATAGGGGTGGCTCGAAATAACGTGGGCGGATATTATACCGTGCCCCGCATACAATGGTTTTATTTTTTTATTAATGTGTGGACTTGTACATTAACGTACGGATTGGATGCGATTGTACATCAAATGGCACTCGCGAAACTCAAAAATGGAAGGTGCTATTGTGGTGAACAAAACACATAATGGGTGACGCGTTCATGCATCAAGGACCCTGGATTACAACCATGACGGACCATTTGCTCGAAACGTTGCCAATGCAGGCCGATGTTATTGATGTATATTTCTGGGCGGGCGGACCGAAACGAAAGGAACAAAGAGACGGGGGTGTGAGCCTGGACTTGAACAGTAAGGGGCCATCGATTTAGTACGTACGCAAAAATGTCAACTTGACCTCCCCTCGCCCTGTACGAACGCGTACTTTTTACACCCCGCCGGACGATTTAGCTAATTTGAAGGCCAATATAGACAAATTATTATCGAGGCTTCACCCCCCCCCTTCCCGTTTACTATGCGTACATTGTCAGTAGACCCCCCCCCCCCCATACACAAGCGTACTCATTTGGGTTAACCCTCCCCCTCCATGCGTACATACTAAATGGATGCCCCCCCACCTAACGCATTGCGATGGGGAGAGAGGGGGTGAGGGATTGGGAGTTCTCGATCAGGGGTCTGCAACCTGCGGCTCTTCACGACCGCTTCGTCGCGTTATTTTCTTCAGGGCCGTCTCGTGTTCACATGCATTGCGGCTCTTAAAATATCGAGTTGTTTAACGGAATCGGAAAAAAAATAATGGCTCATGTTATTATGGTTGGCCGACCCCTGTTCCTCCACCTTGTGTGCAAATGTTGACTTGCGGGGCTTTGAACAGATACGCTCCATAAAGATACTATTTTTTTACTTGTATTAATTTGAATGTTTTACCTACGTGACTTTACCGAAAAAATCTAAGAATATACTATTTTTTTATTTCAAGCCTTCGTGACTGCAGGGATTCATATTCTTGGTTCTTTCGGTGAAGTCACGTAGAAGGAAAATAATAAAATAATAAAAATATTAACAAAATATAAAAACAATACAAATTCTCACGACGTTTCGACTGCAACACAAGCAATCGTCATCAGGTGTGAAATCTTGATGTGGATTTCACACCTGATGATGATTGTGTTGCAGTCGAAACGTCGTGAGAATTTGTATATTTTCATTATTTTATTATTTCCCTTCTACGTGACTTTACCGATAGAATCAAGAATAACAATACTATTGTTACTAAATGGGCCTTGTTGCTAGTATCAAAATATGAAAAAGCAGAATAGGTTTCGCCTTTTAATGCCTTGGTACTGGATAAAGATCTCATTTTGTAGCTGCTCACCCCGAAACAAAATGTGCTCTGATTGTGCATTGTCTTTGTGCTGTTCGCCTTTTGGCGTGCTCTGGTATGACGCTCATGAGACTCGGCCCTAAAGAAGACTGCTGTCTCTAGGTGTAGACCAATCAGTTCCAAAGACAATGCAACATATATTATCAGAGAATGTTTGTTTGCATGTTCACCACAAATCCCGTGTGTGGTTAATGCAGACGATTCCTTGCAAAAGATTTCTATCTTAACGCCTCCTGTTTTACTGCCAGAAAGGGTAAAACCTGTTCTTAGTTTTCATACCTTGTGTTGCCTCCGAAACGTCGTGATTTTTATGTTATTTTTATTTTACTTTTATTAATTTTAATTTTTTACCTACGTGACTTTACCGAAAAAAACCTAAGAATATGAATCCTTGCATTCACGAAAGCTTCAAATCTAGAATTTCATACCTTTGTTACTGTGTACAGCATTATAAACGAAGGCATATCACCCCCAAATACTCGGGATCCACTGAATCACAATCCCAGCCAGCCCCCCACATTGCTGTCTGCTGAAATCGACAATGGCCTCTCAAAACTCTCCGTGAATATCTGCATAGCCGGAAGTCGCTGGTTTTCTACTTGCCCAGGAGCCTGGATTTCCTTCCCCAACCCCCATCCACCATGGTCAACCTTCTGATTTCACTCACCAAACGTGTTCCACGGGATTCTGTGCTCAGTCCTATTCTCATTCAATAAAACAAATTCTGCTTGTGTTTTCGATTGTCCTTCCAACGCACCTCCGATTAGCACGGTTGGCTGAGTACGGTGCGAAAGACGTTCAACATACAATATCATAGCATCAACTATAGCTCATTCTGAAGTTCAACTTTATGCCGATGACATGATTATACGCCAGCCATCTACATTCATGTACAACTAAAACAAGACGATTTCACAACCATCCAAAAAATGTTATCGCTTTAATGTCACCTGAGTGAAAACAAGACCAAGCGTGTTCCTTTTATGAGCCCCCTGGTCTAAGAAAGCTCCGAGCCAATGAAAATTGCCCATGACCACTCTGTCGCACAGCACTTGAACATCTTTCCTTCTACAACTAGTATCTTGGCATCTGGCTCGATTCTCATCTCATCTTCAATCTTTGTCAAGAGTATTTAAGAAAGTCATTAAAAATTACTATTGGAAATTTGTAGAGAAACGAAATATCTTTCGCTAAAACATTAGATAGATGCTACCTCTGTACATGTCATAGACTCTGCTGGTGACATGCAAATCAAGCAATAACACCATTGGATTAGCCAAACCTTATCTCATTCTGCCAAACTCTTTATCTTACAAACTACGGTATTCCACTCATGTATTTTTATTCTAAGACCATTTATCATGCTCTTTCAATTGGCAAGGGAGATTCATTGGGTGCAAGATTATTTTCATGCATACAAGCATAACGCCAACCCCTTACAAAATCCCAAGCGTTTATTCATTACCAAAACCCTCGAACGTAGAAGCCCACAACACCGTGTCCACTGTACCAAGGACAGAAGGAATCTCTCATGGGTTTCACTCTCTTTTTGTTTATGCCCCAAGCTCGTGGTGTTCCGTCACTTCAAGAATGTCCTTGGCTACTATCCCATTATGAATAACAACGCGATGCTAAACTTTCGATTCTTTGATAACTTCAATTGACTTTGACATATCCTTGTCGACTTGTATATGTTTCTGTAACAATTCAAATTGTGCCATGATCGGACTAAAAAGATCTGCCCGAGCCAACTTGTGCTACAGATAATGTATTAATTAAAACTGGGTTGTTTATTAAATATTTATAATTTCTCATGCGACACAATTGGTGTCGCATGAGAAATTATACCTTTTTTTAGTAAGTAAATTGTATTTGTTTGGTCACCCTGGTCGCTCTTGCAACTAAGACTTTAACTGGTCTCGATTTCTCACTTGGATAAACAAAATTGACTTAGTTACTGTGTTGTACAGCATTGATAATCTGCACAGCATTGTTTGCAGAGGTTTGTTCGCAGATTGTTCGTGTTGTACAGGCCGCCCTGGTTACACCCTGGGTGTGATAACCATAACATATGTACTGTTTGCTTAACCATAGATGTTAAAGATCCTGTAGCATCATTCATGAAAGAGTAGGCCAGTGTATGCTGGCGTCTTGGTCAAATAAAAAAACTGAAATCGCTTAATTGGGAAACACCCAGCAATTAGAATATGTATTTATTCTGGAGGAATCCGATGAGTTATAAAGCTCTTCACAGATGTCCAGTGTGGCGGGTAAGAACGTTACAACAAACAATACAAAAACATAGTAGTGCAAATTACAAGAAAGGTAAACGAATCACCAGACGCTGTCTTCCCGACAGACCTGTTCTTCACCTGAGGACGGCTGCTTGCGTTGTGGCCGAAACGTCGTGAGAATTATTTTATCATGTTTTATTTATTCTTTTATTATTTCCATTCTACGTGACTTTACCGAAAGAACCAAGAAGATGAATCCCTGCAGTCACGAAAGCTTTAAATCGAAATTTAACCACCAAAAACACATACAAATGAAACTTAACCAT